GATAGATAGATAGATAGATAGATAGATAGATAGATAGATAGATAGATAGATAGATACTTAATTTATGTGGCCACCACATTGCAAATTGGTTTCCTAACCCCAAAACCTGAATAATAACAATAACTTTAAAAGTATTCTCAGTCCCTCCTAAGCTTCCACAGGACTTTAAAAGCAGACTTTTATTAGGTATACATGCATGCAGGGATAGGCTGGGGGTACATTTCTAATAGCTGACAAAAAAAATCTCACAGCAATAAAATCAAAAGTTAAAAAAGAAAATAGCAAATTAAAAGCCACAGTTAAAGTAATTCTGATGCTAATCAAACCTTTTAAGAATTGAAATTACATTTGCCTTGCAAGATACCATCTGTTTAAACTTCTGAATAATGAAAAACAGAATAAATGCTTTGCATAATATAATACAAAATAAAGTAAAACTACATTCAGGCAAATGCTTCAGGGGAAAAGAACAGCAGTATTTTGACACAAAAAAATATAATCTGGGGATGGAGGAGAAAGAGGAGGGAAGCGTTACACTTATTTAGAGACTTATAATTAATCAGTAATCCATAATGCTGCTTGCTGTATGGTGCCCAAACATAAGAAAATTTGCCACTGTGGGGTTCATAACTGACATGCATTTGAAACAGGTCTCCTAGCCATGCTCAATCCATATCTATGTACATTTTTGCATAGTTTATATCTGAAATTGTATAATTTCTGCTGGTCGTGCCCAAGATCTGAAACACTTAGAAAACAAAACACTTAGACTAAATAAAATATTTTAACTAATTTGCTGGCAAATGTAAATGGTCACAAGCACACTGCTTTCATTTAGTTATTCTTCTTCAATTTAGTGAAGTTAACGGCAAGCTGCTTTTATTGTCAACAGTAATTTTAAGGAATGAAAACAAATGCAGGAAAGCAAAGCAAACATTTTATTTTTATTTTAAGTAGGAAGGGATGAAATCAACTTTGAGCAACTGACTGTTCTAAAACAGAAGACTGGGGTGATATACAAGAGATGGCATAGCTAGGGGGAGAGATTATGCGGGTCAGGAATTCACAATCCAGAGGCTTTAGAGCATCTGCAATTCCCATAAAAAGCAATCAGATATCCCCATAAGGTTATTTCTTTGTAAAAAAAATGCTAAAATCTTGTGTGAGACGGTATGAAATCTAACGGCTGAGATCCTGAAATCTAACGGTGTGTGATAATATACAATATTTTTATATTGTATTTTAATTGAGTCTATCTCTTCTGTAAACTGCCCAGAGTTGCTTTTTAATGAGATGGGTGGTGACAAATTTTATAAATAAATAAATAAAATAAATAATCTTGCAAGATTTCAATCATTTTTATATAATGCTTTGGGGAAAGATACCTGGCCCTTTATGCAAAATGGCACCCAATATCAGCTCCCAGCGTATCTGCTGTAGATCCATGGAATGCAGGGCTAACGTACCTGGGCTGCAAAAATCTAAATAATCACTAGATAGGAGCAAACAGATACAAAACCTCCAAACTCTCTGTTGCCATCTAGGCCTCATCAGGATTTATGCAGCCAATATGGTAGTCCTAATGGAGTGATATTGAATGAAAGTATTAAAAAAATGCCATGGCCCCCTATGTATTTGGCAGTCGTGTGTGAACAAAAATATGCAAACACATATCTAGAGAGAGATCACACACTGAGCTAAGCCTTAATGCAGCTTATCTGGATTTGGCCTGCAATATTGAGTGTAATTAGATAGCATCACTGAAGCAATGAGCATGAAACTGAGCAAACTCAGGGAGGCAGGGAAGGACAGGAAGGCCTGGCGCAATAGGGTTCATGGGGTCACGAAGAGTCGGACACAACTTAACGACTGAACAACGACAAATTGAGTGTAAACAATGATTTAGAATATATGCAGACTGCAAAAAACCATGGTTAAAACAAAGCCACGCTAAGCATGATAAATAAGCGTAGCCAGTGATGCACATAAGCTCCAGGTATGTGACTCAAAATTCTGCACAAAGGCACTAAAATCACACATGAAAATAAAAGCTTGCAAGTGGCATAGGATAGTAGCGGCTGTCCAGTACATCATGTCAATATAGAGTATGAAAAATAGTACCTACAAGCATGATCCCATTAATCCCCTTCATGCATCAAAATCCTTGATTTTTGGTTATGCAAAGGGGTCCACCTAATCTAAGCAATCCATCAAAAGTCTTACCTTTTGTTTAATAACGGTAGGATAAAGAGACACTGATTGAGCCCAGCGGGAATATCGTTCTGTATTTGCAACTGGATTGTTCACATCTATGTAACTTAAACCAGCCACAGTTCCGGGATCTCCTCCCTCTACATGTGGGTCAGCTTTAATCTGATTGTTGCGGACTCCTGGAAGGATAGGCAGAGCGTAGCATTTAAAAGTTAAACAACTTACAATGCCCAAAAATATGAGCCTGGACAATAGACATGGTAAATCATGAGAGCTCCTAAGATGTTTACACCTAATAAAAATGCAAAGCTTTCAAGAATTACATCCTTATTATAGCCACAGAATTCCACTTTTGAGAGTAACCGGGGCTCTCTTAGGGAACAATGGACTGGAAGAACCAGCAGTAAGCTGCTGTGATCTTTTAGCTGGGTACTAGACACCCCGTGACCTGCTGGGTCATCGTTTCAGAGTTGTTTCCTTACCTAAACAGAGAAACAGAATGACCATGGGTGGGCATAAAAGTAGTGGGAATGGAAGCGACTTCTGACTTCCTCCCAGCTTCCCCATTGACTTTCCTTGTGGGAAGCTGGCAGGTAGCATTGGAAGTCTTCCTTCCTTCCTTCCTTCCTTCCTTCCTTCCTTCCTTCCTTCCTTCCTTCCTTCCTTCCTT